TCGCAGAAAAAGGGGCTCGGGAAGGGGTTGGCCCCTCGGAGAGAGCTGAGCCCCCATTTTCCAGCTGTATTTAGTCTGAGACAGGCACCTGAGCAGGTTACCTGACAGCCCCCTTCCGCCACCAGGTTCGTCCTGAGGAAAACACGAAAACCTGACAGAATTGCACCACAAAAGCGCCTTATTGCCCTCACAGGACGGCAGAGGGGCTGCGTGGGCCTGGTGCCGCTGTTTTATTTCTCAGTTGCCTCCTTCCTGCAGAAATCAGTTATTAAATGTGCCGCTGAGGACATTTCAGTCCTTGGGCTGCCGTGACCAACAGGCGGGTGGTTATTTGCCCCTTTTTGGCTGCCTCCGTGGTGGCTTTGGTCAGTTCGAAGTCAACTTCGAAGAAGTCAGTCCGGTCAACTTCGGTGGAGTTCCTCGCCGCACTTCACTCGGAGCCACCTTTGCTGAAGGAGATTTGCTCTGCCATGGGTCGTCAGCGAGGCAAACACCCCTCCAAAATCAACCCTGCACCTACACAGCCAGTAGCCTGGTCTTGCAGCCCAAGCTCTCCCGGCTAAAACCATTAATGATGGAGCAGGCTGTGGGAGAGAATAAAGAAATGAAAAGATAACATGGATTGGGGCTGCCCTCTCCGATTTCTGCCACATCCTTTCTCCAGAAGTCATCTAGTTCCTCTTTAGTACCATCTTATTTTGTGTCTAACCACCCACATTTGTAACCTGCAGCTTTTGGCAACAGAAAAGCCTTTAAAATACATTAAGAAGACAAAAGAAACGTGTGCATCCGAAAAGATTCAGTGCTTCCCCAAACAGAATAAACGTAGTGTTGATTGAGGCTGTGCGCGTACCAGTACAATATAACTATTCTGAGGAGACTTTGCACAATGGGTGGCAGAGAGGAAAAGCTGCTTCTGGCAAAGCGGCATCAACACAGGGAGTACAGTCTCGCCTTTGTCGCATTTGGAGGATCCAGAAAGCATGAAGCACTGCTGTTTTCATTTATTTTTTCCATCGGAAAGACTTTGTCAACAATCTCAAACCTGACAAAGGGGTGACAAACGGTGTAAGACACATTTTTTGTCAGCAAGCAACCTGAGAAAGTACTCTGTTGCATTATCTTCACGCAAAGCAAATAAAAGGCAGCATCTCTTCTTCAGACGAGTCACATTTAAATTACTGATACAATAAACTTTTAATGAGATATTCCACAAACTCATTTTACAGCAAGCATAAAGAGTTTTGACCAATATCACCATTTTTCACAAATTCCCCTCACAGTAACAGCGACACTGAAACAGTGGCAGAAGCTGCTTTGGACGGTTTTTGTTAAAAATATGCATGCAAGAGCTTTTTTTTGGTCTGCACGGGATCTCACCTGCGCATCTCTCTCATCACGCCCTTCCGCACACGCGCCTTTCCAAGAGCCAGCACGCAATGGATTTATCGTAATACAAAAATACATAGGGCTCCTATAAATTATTGCAGGCTGACAGGGTTAGGAGGCACAGAGCTGGTTGGCTTTGGGGAAGCAAAGAAGAAGGCATTGACTGCAGAAACAAGAAAAAGTGTGAAGACACAAGAGGAGCAAGAGCCAGAAAAATGCAGCAAAGAAACACTGAAGTACTGGGCTGCTCCAAAAACCCCTAGGGGACGGTGGATGAAGAAAACCTCAGCTACAGACGGCAGCGGGGAGAGGTTTTTGTCCAAGGGGTACAGAGAGCTCTCAGAACAAGCGTGGTGGTGAAGCAGACAGAGAAGCAAATGTGGTGAAAATCCTCCCTCAGTAACCCCAGGCTAAGCCAAGAGCATGTGTAGCGTTAACCCTTTCTCCAGGGACTGCAGCTTAACCCTGAGGGAAGGAGCAAAGGACCAAGATGGGGACATGCTGTCCCTTCACCAGCCTTGTGGAGGGAGGGAGGGAGGAAACCCCTGCCAAAGGCTACAGGAAAGTTCGGACGATTTTTCTACAAGATGAGAGAACAAAGATGGAGATGCCTTAAAAAAATCCACCCCTCAACTGTTGTTGGCAACTGGAGGGCATGTGCTTCTAGTAAGAGATTATTCTGCCAAGCATTGGTAGACCAATACAACAGTCACCTCAGGGCATGCATCAGTGCACTTTATTTCCATAAAATACCACTTTTGTCTCTGAAACAGTTGTTTGAGTGAAGGAAGCGTGTGTGAGCAAGGTCAGGAGCGGCAGAAGGAGCTGGCTGCTGCTGGCTGTGCTCCCTCTGCCTACGCCGAAGCAGGGGACGGGAGCGGGATGTTTGAGAGCTTTCCCACCAGGGATGACTTAAAAATCAAGGTCTGAAATGTGGAGTGCAAGGTATTCTTCTTCCTGAACACAATTAGCAGTTAGAGAGGTGGGAAAAATCACCCACCTAATCAGCAAGTTTAAGAAGCTCAATGCAAGGAGTAATTTGCAGTGAACACTTTGGCCTGAGTATCTCTCTTATGCAAGGTAAGGGCAGCATGCTCTCCATTCAAAAAAAAAAAAAATTTAGAATACCACAGAATGGTTATTCTGAACAGAAACATTCAGTGCATACAACAGGGAAACTCCTGCTCCCGTCACTCGCTCCAGTCTGAACGCAGAGTCTGACTGAGCGAGTTGTGGACTGAAAATTC